ATATACATTCTCCCTGTGTCTGTGTGAATTTTCTCTAGCTACTCTGCTTTCTTCCCACATCCCAAAGATGTACACATTAGTTGACTTGGTGCATCTAAATCGCCAATATGAATGAATGTGGGTGTGTGTGAGTTGCTTTGCCATGGAATGACCAGGATGGGTTCCTGTCTTGTGCCCCGAGTTGCTGGGACTGGCTCTGGCCACCCTCAACCCTGAACTGAAATAATGGGTAAATAATTATCTTTTTTAAATTAATCATTCTTCAGTGTACATCTAGCTCACATTTATTTCAGTATTTAATATTAGAAGTCTTTTTGGTCTTTATTTAGAAGTTTGGTGATGTTTTCTGTGATCAGAAATATACTGTAGGTACTTAACTCTTGTTTATCTCAATTAGCTTATGGTAAATTTGGTTTTATTATATATCATTTCGCTTAAAGTTGAGGTTTTCAAGAACTTTTTTATGACATTGAGGATTTACTACATATATGTATATATATATGCTCACTCTCTTACTAATTAATTGTGCTAATTTGATGATGTATTTTATACTGTATGTATAATCTTCATAATCTCTCTTTTCATTGTTAATTTCTTAGTAATGCTTGTTCTATTTTAAATTCATGTTTAAAGTCCTCAGTCTCATAAAGCCTTCAGTTTAGAGGGTGATACAAGCAAACATATCATTACAATACAGACTGATGAGTTCTGTGGTAGGAAAATGCAATGTGTTATAATCTTTTCTCTAAAGCTTTCTCTGACCACTCCAACATTTAGAAATAATTTTCTCTTTTGAACTTACAGAGTGCTGTTTGTTTTTGCAACCTATTTTGTCTTAATAAATATATCCTTTCACTCTTACTAATTTAGATTGGTGTTCTGTAGGGGATGGAGAGGAAACATTCGTGTTTCTATATTCCAGACCCTACCACGGTTCTCTGTAAAAAGTAAGAACTAAATAAATTTTTTTGTGATAATGAGGTGTTATATCACCCTTCATATCTACCTAAAAATTAAGTCAAATAATCAATCAAGAGAAGCTTATTATAAATTGTATTCTTTTGATCAAAGATAACACATTCTATTTGTATTGCAAACCATATTGAATTTTTCCTACCATTTTGTTTTCTAAAACTATATTATCAGTTAATATATTGATAACTTTTTATCATTATTGAAATGATATAAAATCATAACCACTAATCAACTGTATAAGAAATATCCCAATTTGAATTCAACCTTTCCTCATATTAGGCTAGTGAGAAATTCATTCATAGCTATTATAGGGGTAGGGCAAGGACCTCCTTTCAGCAAAGCCTAAATGAGAATTCAGGCTTATAAGATCCCCAGAATATTGCCCTGCACATCTTTAGTCATTCTTGTTCATTACTCTTATCCTCACTGTCTAGGTACATAGTCTTTTGGAGACAAGAAACTCTCCTGATTATACCAGGGTTAGGTTAGGAAATATTTGCTGAGGCCAAAAGCCCTGTGCCAAGGGACTGGCTTCCCTGAGTGTACCATGCATGGGGTCCCCATGTACAGATTCTCTGTGGAAGGGAACTTGATTAGAGGAAAGAATAGGAACTGAAATCTAGTCCTGTACTCACTCCATTTCCCAAACTGAGTTTCCTCTGGGCTGCGTTAGCCTGGAAGTGTTGCCTTTTTCTAATTTACAGAAAGACACCATGGGGACATGTAGTAACCCTGTTCACCACTCCCCATCCCCCGGGCTCCAGCCTAACTTCTTCAGCTCTTCTTGTTCTCTTCAGGCTGGAGAAAGCAGGCTATAGATTTAGATTTTGAGAAACTTGCCTTTCTAAAAATAATATCTTGGGGAAAAAACATATGCCTCTTCTGTCTCTATAAAAATGTTAGCACCTCTTTCTCTGGGACACCTTACATATTCTCTATTTGCTTAGACTTTCACAAAATACAGAAAAGGAAGATGCCTTCAAGAGGCCTCTGCACTGGATCCTGAAAATGTTTCTAGAGAAAGAAATGCCTGACTACTCTCTCGAAATTGAAGGGAACGAGCATGAGAGGTTAAAACATAAAGAGAGTGAAACACCAAAGTCATAGCTTGACAAATTTTAAGTGACATATTAAACTTAAATTTTTAATTGCTGAAGTTTAAATTTTTAATTTTGAAATGTTTATATAATGACTGTTGTACAAAATTTACGTAAAATGTTTCTTTAGGAAATCACAAATAAAACCTTTAGTAATTAAATGGAAATTGATGAGTTATTACTTCCCTCCCAGCATGATAGAAAAGATATAATTGGAAGATTAACATGGTCCAGAAAGACTTAAAAGTTTGAAATTGCCTTCTTCATACCATTTATTAAAAATGTCTTCTTTGTTTTATATGTATTTCTGCTCTATTTATTTTCCAGTTAAGTGAATTTATATTTATGTCAATATTAAAGTAACAGCATAACTTAAAATTATAGTACATTTGTATTTGTAAATAAACTGATATTTATCTGTTTATTGAGTTTAAGACTTGTAAAAGAACCTTTGGAAAGTAGTTTTCTTCTGAGAAAATTAAGTTTTTTCAATTTGTTGAGTAATTTAAATAAAATAGGGGACATAAAATATAGAGGAAAATATACAAAATTATAATATTTTGGTGCTATAAATTCAGAAAGATGGAAGACTTTATGTTCATGACAATTGCTCTGAAATGTCCTTTATTCTATTCTGCTTTCTAGAACTGTCTTAGTAAAAAATTCTTCTTTGGTATATTTGTATTATATAATCTATATGTACATATACATGTGTATATGTGTATTTATGGTGTATATATGTGTATATATATATGTATATACATATATATGATTTACAATAAAATGACATTTCCCCAATTTTAAAACTTGTGAGATACCTAGCACCTCAAATTCAGCTGTTATAATTGTTGTTTTGAATCTGAGAGAATTATGACACAAAAGTATGGAAGGTATAACAAGTCAAAAGAAGGGCAGCCTCCCCTAATCATGAGAGGGTGGGAATGGGGATGAATAGCGGGTATTATTGAAATAAAAAGGACTGGTATTGAATTAAACCAAATGCTACTTTTGATTGTGAATGAACAAGGAAGGTACATTCTTCCTCTTTATTGTAGAACTTCACCTGGGAATATTAACATTTTTTAACAGCACAAGTAGTCTAGAGTGAGAATAAGAAATTTTGGTAAAATTTCTCAAAGTTGAAAATTAATTGACTGCTCCCTTCAGCAAATTAATAATAAAAAATTGTAAAATGAGTTATCTTCTTATTGGGGCAAATAATTACAGCGTTTAAAAAATTCTTTTGGATTACTTTTGTTTATATAATAGTTACTATTGAGAGATATTCATACTATATATAATGTCTATATTTTCAGGAGAATCAGTTGCTATCTTGTCATGAAAGAGTTAAAAGTTTATATTTAGTTTAGTTTTTTTTTTTTTTTAAATCACTTGGGAATATATGTTGAAAACTAATGACTAAAATGTTTTGATTTGTATATAGTATAAGTAGAATCCAAACTTATTTGATGACTAAGAACATGGGCTTTAGAGTTAAACAATCAAATCCAGGTCCAAGTTCCAAATTTACAGTATATCAGCTATTTACCTTGGGCACATTGCTTAACTTTTTTGAACCCTAGTGCATTTCTAAAATGGAGATGATTGATGTCTTACCTCATAAAGTTGTTATGAAGATTAAGTGTAGTAAGGCTTGTTAAGAGTTATCTCAGTACCTGACTCATACCATGCAATAAAAGTTAACTCAAACAAATTGGGTATGCCTTTTTGCATCATAAAATAACATACATCTATCTTTCCCCCTTTTGTCAATTAGACTTATGTGCACTGCTTTTGAAGATGAGAATCAAAATTGTTGTGTGATCAGTGTCTTATTTATGTCTAAACTTTAAGCGAAGCATTTTTAAAAAATTTTGTTCGCGCAAATGTTTTAAAAATCTATTGATCAGATGATTGTCAGCCATTTGGAGGACAAGCTCATTTCTACCCTGCTTAGTTAATTATTGTGATTATAAACAAAGGATGTACAATTCAGAGTCAAGCAACATTTCACATGGATGATGGAGGTGATAATAGCTTAATTCCTACTGGATCCTTTTTCTCTGCTCTGGCAAGTTCATACTGACCTTGTCCAAAGTCTGATGACCTCCCTATTTTACTCAACTGTTTGGAAAGCCAGGCCTGCCATAGCTGGCCCTGAGGGGGTATCTGAAAGACCACTGAGCCACTGACCCATGTCAAGACTGGATTTTAAGTCTGATCTACAGGGCCTCTGAAGCAGTTATATATGGGGCTTATTGCACACAAAAGACGAAGCGGCTGCATTTTTCTGCTTATTAAATGTCCTTTTAAAGTGTTTTTAAAGTCTCATTATTAAAGTCACATATTTAATTCACTCAGTTTCTCATCAAGGTCACTTTCTAGAATAATTATAAATTTTGATCTTTTATCACAGTATCTTTAAACTTGCATTTTTTGAAATGTGAGGAAAATATACTGATAAACCTTGGCTAAAATATAATGAATTATCTTCCTGGTTGATGAAGGGACCAAGGCAGTAGCATTTTAATACTTACAAAGATTTTGGGTTTTTCTGGAAAAAACCCCATTTACCTCATTTTAAAATCTAGTTTTGGCTGTCATTGTTTATATAGCGTGCTAATCTGTATTTATATCTTGTCAAACCTGTTAATACTCAAATGTTGGTATTGAGGAGTTTTGAAATTATGAGATGTGTCATGAAGGAAAGCCTATAAAATGTATTTATACCAGTAAAATGTTATTTAATTTTGGTTGAATAGGATTTACTTCTTAAATAGAAACATTGTGATAGGGCTAGGCTGTGCAAAGAGAAGAAATCTTCTCTGTTTATTTTGTTCTTCTGCATAATAGGAAATGATCAGGTTCTTCTATGACTATCTAATCAGTTCAGTTTATAATATAACATTATCTTTTATTTTTATATAGGAGTTGATCCCTGAATTTTATTATCTCCCTGAGATGTTTGTCAACTTCAATAATTATAATCTTGGAGTGATGGATGATGGGACAGTAGTGTCTGATGTCGAACTTCCTCCTTGGGCCAAAACCTCAGAAGATTTTGTTCGCATAAACAGATTGGTAAGATTATAATCATCTACCCTGTCTATCATGAGCCTTTTCTCAAAGCATCTTTCATGTGTGGTGTTTAATCATTAACCCTTGCTCTTCTGGACAAACCTGTAGGTGATAAGAATAACTGTAAGTGGCATAGTAGTTCATGAATTGCCATAAAATGTTATTGAATTGAAAGATATAATAGTTGTTTTTATTATTTTATGCAGAATTTAGGTTATGTTCATATATACATGATAATTCAAAATTATATGTGGGAGTTGTGCCGGGCTCGGTGACTCAGCCTGTAATCCCGCGCCTTTGGGAGGCTGAGGTGAGTGGATTACCTGAGCCCGCGGGTTCGAGACCTGCCTGGGCAGCGAGACCTCATCTCTACAATAAATCAAAAAATCAGCCGGGCGTGGTAGCGCATGCCTGTAATTCCGGCTACTCGGAAGGCCGAGGTGAAAGGATTGCTGGAGCCCAGCCGGTCGAGGCTGCGGTGGCCGGGAGCGGCCACTGCACTCCAGTCTGGGTGACAGAGTGAGACGCCAACTCAAAAAATAATAATAATAATAAGTGGGAGTTGTTAGTGAAACTGAAATTACAGGTGTTTTTCAAACATGAGGTTCTCTTGCCAGGAAAGGGAACATAATTTTGTATTCCAGATTAGAAGGTCATCACACATTCTGGTAATAGAAACATGATTTTCAAATTCCATCTTGTATCTGTATTTTGAGGGAAATCTTCACATTTTCATATTTAGAATATGGAAACTTTAAAACTTGAAAGCACAGTTAATTTGTGCTTACAAACAACTCTTTAGTATCCTCTTTAGTAGACTCTTTAATGTCCTTCATTAAATGGGTTCTGTATTATTTTGCTAAAAAATAATAGGAATTTTCCTTTTTGTCTTTTAAAATTCTTTAAAGTTTGGAATCAGGGAGCTTTATTTTTAGTATTTAAAGCTAGAATCTTGAACCAGGCATGGAGACTCATTCCTGTAATGCCAGCATCTGGGGAAGACCAGTCTGGAAAACACGGTGGGGTTTTGCCTCTATAATTAATCAAAAAATTACCCGGGCTTGGTGGCACATGCCTGTAGCCCCAGCTATTCTACTCGATAGGCTGAGACAGAAGGATCACCTGAGCCTAGCAGGCTGAGGCTGCAGTAGCCTCTGTACTCCAGCCTGAGCAATAGAGTAACGCCAACTCAAAAAAATAAAAAGAAAAGTAGAATCTTTGCCATACTATGTATTAAAAGTGAAATCACGGTCAAACTGTTTTAAATTTACAATTAAACAAGAAAAATTATTGCATTTTGGTTTTTTAGGTGGCATTTCTTACCTTTAAAACCAACAATTATATTTTAATCCTATCTTCCAGGTCCTTATTACAATGTTATTATTACCAAAATTCACATTTTACATAGACTAGAAGCAATGCAAGGGAGTGGAAAGAATAAAAGAGGTAGACCAGGTTTCCTGGATCAGTCACATTACTAACGATGGGACCCTAGCAGTTTAACCTTTTTAAGTCTTGGTTTCCTCATTTATAATTTTGAAATTGTGAATTTAAATTATTATTATGTATGTAAAATACATAGAATATTCTCTGGCTTATAGCAGGTGCTCCAAAAATAGTATATATTATTGAACTACAGTCATGTGGTACACGTTACATTTTACATCTATCCCAAGAATTGTTGAAGATACTAAGTTTCTGTGATTGATGTATGAGAACAAGATAAAACTTAGCTCTGAAAGATATTGAAGGAGATGTTAAACCTTTAAATGTAGCAGTTGTCTATGGTTGTGTGGTTTTTTGCCTCCAGAGGTGCACAGAAGTGAATAGAAGGTGCATTTGTACTACAACTATTTTTTCTATAGTATTTGTAAATTTAAATTTTAAAATAGATTTATTGATATGTAACTTACATACTATAAAATTCAACTTTTTAAAAGTGTAAAATCCCATGAGTTTTATTAAATGTATACACTTTTATTAAAAATGTGCAACCCAGTTAAGTTGGGTAAAATTCTTTAATCAACTTATTTTGCAAATATTGTTCAATTTGACTGTTTTATCCCTTTTTTTTTTTTTTTTGAGTTGGAGTCTCACTCTGTAGCCCAGGCTGGAGTATAGTGGCACACTTACGGTCACCCCAGTGTCGACCTACTGGGCTCCAGTGATCCTTCTGCCTTAGCCTTCCAAGTAGCCGGAACTACAGGCGTGTACTACCACACCAGGCTAATTTTTGATTTATTGTAGAGACGAGGTCTCGCCAAGTTGCCCAGACTGGTCTCGTACCTGCAGGCTCAGGCAATCCACTTACCTCGGCCTCCCAAAGTGCTGGGATTATAGGCTGAGCCACCCAGCCCGGCCTGTTTTTTCACTTTTTAATGGTGCCTTTTGAATCACCATTTTTAAAAGAATGTTTTAACTAAATGTTAGATGAATGTAAAATAAAATGTATAATATGTGATATATAAATTATAATTCCCATGCTTGAATATATTTTTAGGAAAAAATAAAATCATGTTCTTCTGATCATTTTATTATTGGTGCTCTTTTTCTCAATTACAACTTAAAACTTTAATTTTCAAAAGAACTAGTTCTCTATTAATCATTACATAATTAGTATTGTTAATAACAAAGAAATTTGTTAGTATTTTTACTTCACTTTAAAGGAGATCTAAGAGGCAGAAACATTTGGATAAGTTATGTTTAAGTTTTTCACCAATATTTTGGCAATTAAAATATTGAATTGTGTAAATACTCTCCCACTGCTGCCCACTGCCTTCACCTCAGAAGAACCAGGTCTGTTTGGTAAAGTTTTGCCAGGGTATTAAGGAAAAGATTGTAAGTTACCAAATTATTTTACATTCAGATTTGGATTTTGGCTACCTATGCTCTAAACTTAGACATGACCATGAAATAATATACAAAATGATATTTTGCAGTATTAACTGCATATATAATACATTCTTAAGTTTACTTTCCATTTTTCCCAGTGATTCCTCCCTCTTGAGTTTTACAGATGTCTTCATATTTAGGCTCTGAATGGCCTTACATTCCCAAACAGAACTGTATAAATCTCTGCAAATCAAGTGCAAACATAGTTTAGAGTTGAATATTTATGTCTCTGGTCATTTTAATTCATAATTAGGAAAGATACTTTTATGTATATGTGCCTTTATGAAGGAATTTCATAACACATTTGTTAAAGAATATTTATTATATACCTATGATGTACAAAGCATTCTCACAGTGCAGTCTGTATTGATTCATTTTATAATTTCCTGTTAATGTTCTATAAGTGATACATTGTTACTGTGGTATCTTTGGTATCTGTTAGCATGTTATCACACAAGGATTGTATCCCCCTCCTCTTTTTGGTTTACCTCTTCAAGTCCACAGATTTTATGCAATGATTGTAGCTCATGAAATGCATACTACTTTGATCTGTGACCTTTTTGTGGTGCTAATCGGGTTCCTGATATCATTATACCTTACTCATTAATCATATTTCCTGCTGCCCGTCAGGCAGCCAGACAGCACAAGTCCCTGTTTTCAGCCCTCTGTTGGCAGTTTGCTGCTTTTTCCAGATTATTACAGACGATTCTTTGGCTTCTCGTAGCCAGAGCTACATCAAGCTGTGTGTTACAATTAAAGTCAGATGGTCCTCAGGTTGAACAGGGATATAGTGTTGCAGCTGTCTCTCTTCCTGGAACAAACCGGCAGCAAGAACAGATGATCTATGGGACAGTGAATAATAACAGATTGTACAATACTTGGTAGCAGGGGATCAGAGAATTAATTATACTCATACTCATTTTAAGATACCCAGCATGCCTTTTTTAAGTATTTGGTTGTCCAAATATTAATTTAAAGGAATAGGATATTTTTAGGAGCATGATTTTGATAGTGGACAGTGATGCGACACGTTCTATTTGTCTTAGAGGACTGTAACTACTATTTTACCTAATGATTTTCTGAAAGCTTTCTATAGGTAATGGAGATCTAAATGTAGGATTGATAAATAGGCTAAGTGGATGGACTTAGGTACAGAAGATAATATCCTACATATTTTAGAAGGAAAACTCATCTAAATTTGATTCAGGCAAAAAAAATTATATTCTCTTTGCTTAGAGCAGTTGGAATCAGGATAAAACCAAAACAGTCTTAATTATATTCCTGAGATTGGCCTGTGTTATCAAATATTACCTGAACCAGGGATAAAAAACATTTTTTCAGATACTACTTCAGAAATATAAATGAGCAACAGGCTTTCATACTTTCAAATAATATAAAAATTTATGAGTTCAGAGTGCTCATCATCTATCTCTTAAGGTATAATATCAATGTTATGGACCCATATTTTATTGCCTCTTAAATCCTTCAAGTTTCAAGTTGAATAAGTGACAAAGAAAACCATAATCTGAGCACTATTTTTAAAAGTTGGCAAAGTGGAGCATTTTGTTTTAGCTGCAAATTATAGCAAGAGTAATTTATTCCATTAACACATATTTATTGAATGCCTAACTATGGACTGCACTATGAGACTCAGTGAATAAGACATACAATATTCCTACTCTTTTGGAGGTTACCTTTTCTTTGATAACTTGCTGAAATGGAAAACTTCTCAAGGTCTAGAGGGGGCATTATTCTAGCAGGGAAGCATTCTATTGATGAATTGTCCTGAGGTTACCAGTTAGAATCATACTTACTTTTGTGTATTTTCTATAGGTTGTGTTTTCTCTCCTATTCCACAGTGGTAATATGGGTAGTTACTTGCTTGAGAAAGTAGCGAAAAATAAAATGAGCATGTTATATCCTTTCCATTATCATCAGAGAATATATAGACAAATTAAAAGAGATGTTATCTTTTTATAGTATTGCCTGACAGAAAAAAAAATGTAGATTTTTACTTCATTACCAACCTTGTTTTTTCCTATCCATTGCTAAAATGTATATCTATTCAACTTAAATTTTTAGCTCTTATATCTCTGAATGAATTGGGTCAA